TTGCAGGTAAATGGATGTAGTTAGAGAAGATAATGCTAAGTGAAGTTAGCCAAATCCAAAAAACTAAATGCTGAATGTTTTCTCTGATATAAGAAGGATGATTCATAGTGGGGTAGGGAAGGGGAGCATGGGAGGAATAGACGAATTCTAGATAGAACAGAGGGGTGGGAGGGGAAGAGAGGGATATGGGGTTAGAAATGATGGTGGAATGTGATGGACATTACTATCCAATAAGATAATATATATGTATAAAGACACAAATTGGTATGAATATACTTTGTATACAACAAGAGATATGAAAAATTGTACTCTGTACGTGTAATAAGAATTGTAGTGCATTCTGCTGTCATATATAAATAAAAAAACTAATAAAAAGTAAAATAAATTAATGTTTGCTAATGCATTTACATATAGAGATCTCAGTCATTATAAAATAATTATATGTGATATGCTTTATAATTTAGCAATGATAACTGATCCTGTGATTTTTTCAATCTAACAAATTAGAAAATCAAATCACAGGTAAAATACTTTCTCAAGGTCTCTTATTAGAAATTAGAGTACCAATATGGATACTGTATCATTCTAACACTGAAGACACAAGGAATTGTTTGATGAAATCATCACCATTATAATTTTCATTGATGATCAAACTATTGAAAGTTTCCTTTGTGCTAGACTCTGATCAGTACTCATCATTTAATTCTTACAACTACCCTAATGAAGTCCATGCTTTTATCTTAATTTTAGAAGTAAAGAAACTGAGATTGAGACATTAAATATGCCCTAAGTTCACATGGATGTTAAATGCCAGAACTGAGATTTAATGTCCCAAATCCGATGCCATAGACAGTACTTCCAACTGATGCCAATCTGCCTCAGACACCATGGTGCACAATAGCCATAGTTCCTTGACAAATGGTATACAGGTGAAAGATGTTTACTAAATCCGTGGTCTTCTTAATTTGAATTTTTGGTTTATGTTAACAGTAGAACTTCAGATAATCATATTGAGCATGTGGAAATTAATTCCAGTCATTAAAGTCAAATCACTGATCTTGAGCTTGGCGTAGTGGCACACGCCTGTAATCCCAGTGGGCTCAGGAGGCTKAGACAGGAGAATGGAGAGTTCAAAGCCAGCCTCAGCCACAGCAAGGTGCTAAGCAACTCAGTGAGATCCTGTTTCTAAATAAACTACAAAATAGGGCCAGGGATGTGGCTCAGTGATTAAGTGCCCCTGTGTTCCACCCTCAGAACGGAAAAAAAAAAAAAAACTCCCCCAAAACAAACAAAAAACAACTGATCTTACCTGTTTTAAAATCTTGGATCATTATAAACATTTTCTACATCTGCAAGATGTCAGTTACTTAAAGATAATTATACTCAGCAAGAGAAGCCAAGCTATGTTGTTGTAACCAACAATCTCTGAATACCAGCGAGTTTAAATGATAAATGTTTCTTTCTCATTCGTATTGCACATTCATTATAGGTGAATAGACTTCTCTACTCCATAATATACAGAGGCAGCTACCAGTTTCCAGCGTTAAATTGTTATTTATCAAGGCAAAGGAGAGGCAGTCTGTGCCCATCCTTAAATTCCAGTGATATATGTCACCTCCATTCACATTTGCCCAAATACGTCACATGTCCAACTTTAAGGAACAGAGAAATATAATCCTATCATATTCCTGAACAGAGAAAGACTAGAAATGTCTACTTTGGAAATGCATGGCTATCCTAGATGTTAGTTCCATCATTAGAGAGTTTCCAGGATTAAATATGTGGGAGAAAAGTTGAATTAAGGTTGAAGAAATTTCCTAACAATAAGGTTTCTCTGAGTCCTTACTATATTAATATACATTATCAATCTCTAAGAAAGGGTCTTAACATGGAATCATTTTTTCCCAAAATATCTGCAAAGACTCATGTTCTAAAGAAAACACTTCAAGATACAGTACCCTAAAGCTCTACCTTAGAATTTATTTGTGGAAGAATAAAAGGAAAGAAAGAAAAAGACTACAGCAGTGCAAATTTATGGATTGTTTAGGATTGAGAGTTACACAGTAAAGTTCCCACACTAACTAGTTCCAATCAAACATAAAAACTGTTAATCCATTGCAAATGATGCTAAGTTATTATCTATAAGCACCACACATTATAATAGGTGCTTTATTTATTTTAGCTCATTGCAACTTCAAAATAACATTATGAAAATGGGGAAACTATAATGTAGGACCATTACATATTATTATGTCCTGAATGTATGTGTCCCCAAAAAGTCATATATTGAAATTTTAACTGCCAAATGATGGTATTAGAAATTGAGGGCTTAGGCAAGTGATTAGATCATGAGGATAGAGTCTTCATAATTAAGATTAATGCTCTTATGAAAGAGACCCCAGAAAACTAGTTTCCCCTACCACCATGTGAGACAGTGAGAAAGCAGCAGTCTATAGACCACAGGAGGGCTCTCACCAGGATCTAAAAATGCTGGCACATTGATCTTTCTATTTCCAGCCTCCAGAATTATAAAAAATAAATTGCTGTTATTTATAAACTACCCAGACACTCTATTTTGTTATAGCAGCCCCAATGTTAAAAGCCACACAAAGAGTAAAGTGAATAACAGACTAGATGAGGGCAAATAGTTATGTCAACCTACAAACAAAAAGGATTAAATGTTCCTGTTAGATGTACAAACAGTAAACTGTGGTTGGTCATAAATGGAAATATTCATTTTCATTGTCCTCCAATTGGACCCTGAAATATGTGGAAGGAGTGCTATTTGGAGACCCGAGAGGACAGTCTTATATGACAACCTGTTAGGTTTTCATTCCTTTTTTCCTGTCTTTTAAAAAATGTTTTTTATTAGTTCATTATAGTTATACATGACATTGGAGTTTGTTTTCCCACAATCATATATGTATAATTCAGTCCACTTTGCCTCTGAAGCTTTTTGAGGTAAGAATAACATGATCACATAATTATAGCAAGACTTGGAATTTCAAGTTCAGAAGAGCCCTTGAGCAATCCGGCCTAACCCTCTGAACTTAAAATGGGGAAAATGAGGTCTCCAGATGTGAGGCTGCACACCTAGGGCTTTTGTTATGGCCTTTAACTTTTTCATCAGGATAATTGACCAGATTGATAAGCTTGCCTCCATTTTTCTATCKACTGAGTTCAGATTATAGTGGCTTCTCATCAGCATCCCAAGATGAGGAAACTAATTTTGAAAAYGGAGGGATTAAGTGAGGGTGACAAAAGGATTCAGTTTCCAGAATGCCTGACATTCAGGAAAGGGATCATCCTTTGGGTTGTGAAAAATCCCAGTTGATAGCCCCTGATCATAGCTTCACTGTAGTGCTTTGTGAAAACTGGCATTATCAAGGCAGGGAATACAAATCTTGAAAGGATGGAAGAAGTTTGGTTACGAACAACTGAAGAGTTGTTGGTGCTCCAGGTGTGTTAGGTTTGGTGATGAAGGTATCCCCTGGACAAAAGACAGGTTCACCTGTAATTCTGCTCCATCAAAAGATGGAATAGCTTTGTCTGACCACAAAACTATTCCTCTTTCCTTGGTCCCTTCATAGGAAATGACTCTATATACCTCTCAGTTGTGCAAGCCAGAAATTTAGATACCACTTTTCACTGTTCTCTGTACATTATTACCCTGATACCCAATCAATACTAAGCTTCCTATCTTTTGAATACCCCTTTGCCCTAGACACTCTGCTCTGGCCTTAGTTTAGGCCATCATCACACCTCATCTAAATGATCACCATAGTCTTTCTTTGTTTTTCCTATCTCAAGTCTTGCCACTCTTCATCTGTTCTCCACGCTGCAGTCAGAGAGATGGAGAAAGTCAGACTATTTGAAATAATGTTAATTTCTGAGAGAATACTTTTTATTCAGAATGTATATGTTTTATTGTCTTTTCCTGTTTCCTACAAAAGAAAATGATGGACTAGGAAGTGTGGGCGATAGGATCTTGGCCACAGACTGAGGGAATTCTTTTTCCCCCCACAGAATCAACTAAAAAGTTATTTTCTCAATTTGCTCAAAAGCGAGTCATCAATTCTTTGAGATCTTAAGTGCCATCCTTCTCAGTTTAGGTTAAGGGCTTTGCAGAAATATGTTTTCAGAGGGCTTACCGAAAGAGAAATTTCATTATTTAGCTGTTTGGGATTATAGTTTTAGTTTTCTGTTATAATAGAAAGGTGTACTCAGAAAGGCAACTTAAATCAGGGGTGAAGAATAGCAATGAAGATTCTAGTCAAGGTTCTCCTGAATTCTGAACAAAAGTTGTCTTTCCTAGTCAATTCTGATGGTTAGGKAAGAGGGCAGCAAATTGTTGACTCTTTATTGTATCAAGTGGGAGACATGTTATCTCATTAGCTCTCTGACGTAGTTATTAMCAGCAGCAAATTTTACAAATAAGAATAATGAAAAAACTTGCTCCAAGATTCTAGATCTGGTARGTGGGAAGCCAGGAATCAAACCCAGGACATGTCAGTCTGCATGGGTAAGCGTGGCTCTCCACCACCTTGACATAGATGTTGCTTTTAATACTCAAAAAAATCTTTTATCAGGTGGGGTTTCCCATTCTTTTGATACGGTTCTTAAGGTTCAGTGTTTGAAACTTGCCCTGCATCCGTCAGTAAGTGGCAAAGCAGAGATTGGGATTCATGCTTGGCTGCTTCTGGAGTCCATGAGTCTCTGTGATGTCTCCCAAGAGAGTGTCTGTTTATTGTCTCACCAACGTGACTAACAGTTAAATAATGGTTTCCAGAAGTGACCGAATAGCTAGCGATAAATCATAAAAACACATTATCAGAACTTCACAGTGTAACCTCTGTGCTTAGCAAATATTGTTAAAATGAGGTTTTGACCAATAAAGTGTCAGGGATGTTAGTATAAATTAGTCAAAAGGGTGAGGGTTTCTTTAAAACTTGATCGGGGCAATTTACTCCCTATCTGATTCTCATTCAGTTCTGAGCAAAATGAAGGGCTCCATTTTCACTCTGTTTCTACTCTCTGTCCTATTTGCCATCTCAGAGGCGAGGAGCGAGGAGATTGTGAAGCTCTGTGGGCTGGAGTACAGAAGAACAGTCATATACATCTGCGCCAGCTCCAGGTGGAGAAGGCACCTGGAGGGGATCCCTCCAGCTCAGCAAGGTAATGTGGCTCCCTTGTGCCCCTTACTCTTTAGACCTGCCTTTTTTTTTTCCCCCTTAGATTTTCTTAACAGTTATTTTATTTTTGGTACTAGGGATTGTACTCAGAGGCGCCCTATCATGGAGCTACATCCTCCACCCTTTTCTTTTTTATTTTATATTTTGAGAAAGGGTCTTGCTAAGTTGCTGAGGTTGGCTTCAATCTTGCAATCCTCCTGCCTCTGCCTCCCAAATTGCTGGGATTTACAGGTGTGTGCCACTGCACCTGGCTTAACGGTTATCTTAATAACTATTTCTCTAAGAACTGCTAAGCCATTTCTATATCAGTCTGGGGGATTATGCAAATAAACTGAATTTGGCTTGGGAAAAAGGTGAGTTACCTTTAAAAAAAAATAAGATCTCATTTTCTTTAGGCTTTTGTTTGAAATCRTAGGATTGCCTGGCTCCTTCCATGAGCTTAGCATCTACTGCAGGTGTTATCGATGTGCAATACATAGAAGTAAGTAATTTCAAGGGAYTGTTGGCATAGCAAGATTTTCACACCAAGATAACTATAGAATGTAATAAATTGGAATTCGGGTAGGTGTCAAATAATGATGAAAGGAAGAAATTTTTATTGGGCACTTACTAAGTGCCAAGCAGTTTTATRTGTATCATTTCATTCAGTCTGATAAGGATGCAAGAAGTAGATAATATTATCACTGTTTACCATTTTACCAAGGAGAAAACTGTCCACGTAGGTGTTCAGCCATGTGGCTAGGAAGCAAATCAGGTCTATCTGGCTTCAAGAGTCAAAATATTTGTTTATTCTACACTGCACCAAAGGGAGTAAACTATTGCAATAAATGACAGCACTTATTACTTTATTTTTTTATAAATTAACAAATAAAATTGTGTATGTACAACATATTGTTTTAATATTGTATGCACTGTGAAATGGCCAAGTTATTTAACATATACAACACCCACATATTTATCTTGTGTTTGTGTGTATGTGCATGAATGTGTGGTGAGAACACTTAAAAATCTATTCTATTAGCAATTTTCAACAATAGAACATGTTGCTATTAACTGTAGTCACCAGGTTGTACAGCTGATCTCTCAAACTTAATCCTTCCATTTAAATGAAATTTTGTACCTTTTGACCAGTATTTCCCCAACATCCCATCCTCCTGCCCCAGCTCTAGGTAACTTCTATTCTCCTCTCTCCATCTGTGTTTCCACTATTTTTAGATTCCACATTTAAGTCAGATCATACAGTATGCATCTATTTGTACTTGATTTAAAAAGGGAGTTGGGATGGGTATAGGAAAGACAGTAGAATGAATCAAACATAACTCACCTATATTTATATATGAATACATGACCAGTGAACTCCACATCATGTATAACCACAAGAGTGGGTTCCTAATTAGATTAAGTTATACTCCATGTATATATGTCAAAATATACTACTGTCATGKATATCTAAAAAGAACAAATAAAAAATTTTAAAAGACTCTATTTTAACAATGGGTTTTATTTGCTATGCTTTACAATAAAAAATATAAGAACTGATTAGTAATAAATGCTGCAATTACATATAAGACTGTAAAAATTCTAATTTAGCTTAAAATGAACTTGGTAAACAAAATATTTTAGAAAATGACCCACAGCGTTCATATTTTGGTGGTCTAATATCTTGAAATAGCATGATCTTGCCATTACTGCTTTAACATTGAGGCTTATATTACTAGGTAGCAATAGAAACAATAAGGGTTTTTAATCTTAAGAGAGTMCGCATATTTACTAGGATTTATGTTGCTCTCTAGAATACTAAACCAAAATGTACTAGGAAAAAAAAACATTTGAAATATCTCTGAAATATTGGGGAAGTGAGATGAACGTATAAGTCGATCTCTTTTAGACACCACCAAAATCATAATATTATGTACTAAAACTTTCACAGGTTTTCCCATACATTCTTTATATGGTCAATTACTGGTTTACCAACCAGCATTTATTCATCTAATTTTCTTGGTGCTGTTAGTGTGCTAAGGCCCTGAAAAGTAAGTTTAAATGAATTGTAAGTGAGAGAAGCTATGTAAATAAAAACAGCATGTCCTACATTTTATTTTCAGATATAGAAGTTTAAGTCTCCATGTCCTTCCTTTCTCATCAATGTTGTAGGGAACACACAGGGTTTTTCTTTGCTTATAGCAAGTAAAAAAAAAAAAAAAAAAAAAAAAAAACCTTGGGAAGCTGCTAGTTGTGGAGCAGAGGTGGCCAGCAGCAGTCAAGCCTTGATCTGGCTCTAACCAGCCAATGGACACTGGGTATGTCACTCTTAGCTCTTTAAATTGAAGTTTCCTCCTCTGCAAAATGAAGAGTAGACATGACAGGGCTGTTCCTCAAAGGCCAAATCTCTCTGAAATCAGAACAATGTTTTTAAAAATCACATGTGGGATTCAATTTCATTTCAGAAATTTAATTCATTTCTTCAAGAGCAGAAGGTGGCTGCTGCCTTCTTTGTTTGGGCTATTTAAGGTAGTATTTTTTTTTTCTTTCCTACAGGTGAGAAAAGAAACTACTTTCAACTCCCAAATAGACATGAGGCTTCTGAGGAAAACATAGCCCAGGACCTGCCCAAAGTGGATTCCTCAGGCGAGGAACATGTTGGGGATGGACAGATATCCATGGAAAGGCGTTGGGAGTCAAAGAAACATTTGGTGATGTCAAGACAAGACTTAGAAACTTTGTGCTGCAYGGAGGGCTGTTCCATGACTGATCTGAGCACACTTTGTTAAGGAAAAAGCAAATTCTCGATGGGTGGCAGAGCTTTACCATGCATTTAATCTCCTTGTTCTACTGCCTTGTAGRATGCTAGTATTCCATCATAAAACATGGCTTTCAGTTGGCAGGTTTTTTCTAAAAGCTGTGTCTAGTAGTTAAAAACACATTGAGGCCTATTTTCTCCCTTTGCCAAGGTGAATGCATTCTTTTCCAATTCTAAATAATGCTTTGAATTTTAAAATACTGTGCAAAATGAAATAAAAATGCCATTAAACCGAGCTCATTGTGATTTTTTTTCTTTTAAAATTTGTGAATACCTTTCCAACAGTAAATAGAAAATGCTGATGGTGTGTAAAACTTGAAAAATAGGCATTATAAAGGAGGTAAAATAAGCTGTTATCCAGAAAAACTTGTTGGTCATTGTGTATCACTGGAAATTTAAACATTGACTTATGGTTAAAGAAGAATCAAGGGTTTTTCTCAAAATACCTGAAAATGTAGTCCTTTGACACCTCCTTGAGAAAAGCCAGGGGCATATATGTGTCAATCAATTCCCATAAACAACAGAAACTCAGAGTGTGTTTGAGCAATGAGCTCCTTCCTGAAGTCTGGGCCACCTTGATTTTGCCTCTCTACTGCAGAGATAAAAGGACATTCTATTCTCATTCTGGAATTGAGAAACCAAGACCCAGATAGCCAAGCCATTGTTGTGCAGTTAGATATCTTCACAGATAAAAAGACAAGACAACCACAAAACAACATTTCCTTTTCTACTCTGACAGCCAACCCCTCAGTTGTGTTGTAAAAAAAAAGTCAAAATTTCTGTTCAACTGTTCTAGTCAATCTTTGAACACTACCCACTCCATGTCAGGTGGTCATGTCAACATGCTGTGCATAGCATTTAAACCCTTCCTTCATGCATTACAAACAGTACTTTATCATCAATGCACAGATAAGGAAATTGAATTTCAGTAGAATTAAGACAAAGGGTAATAAACGAAGGAAAAGGGACAGGAATAGGAAAGACACTAGAATGAATTGGACATAACTCTCCCATGCTCATTTATGAATTCACCACCAGTGAAATTCCACATCACAACCACAAGAATGGGAGCCTAATTAGAATAAGTTATACTCCATATGTGTATAATATGTCAAAATACCCTACTATCATGTATATTTAGAAGGAACAAATTTTGAAAATTAAAAAAGAAAAAGAAAATATGTCCTAAGTCACATAGCTAAACACAGCTAAGTGGATTGTGTTTTACTGGATCCAAACTTAAGCTGCTCAGTATGAATCAAAGCAGTCATACTAAACTGGTCTAATAGTCAAAGTGTTCTTTACCACCAGGTACTCATGATAGGATAGAAGAAATAAGAAATAGGTAGAAAAAAGGCATGAAGAAAGAACAGGAAATGAGATTTTAATTTTTTTAAAACTATATATATTATAGTTGTTGATGAACCTTTATTTTATTTATTTATATATACTGATGAGAATAGAATTTAGTGCCTCACACATGCCAGGCAAGCACTCTTATCACTGAGCCACAACTCCAGCCCCAGATTTTAATTCTTAAGTTCCACATACTTTTCCAAGCATGTTACTTGGTACACCAGTCTGTCTTGCAGGACTGTTAAACCTGCCGATTCCTGGGAAATCTGTCAATCTACCTGTACATTGTTAATTAAAAAGAGAGATCTGATGTCATGAAAAAAAGATGTAATTTAGAGGACTTTTCCTGATCAGATAATGAAGACCATGTCAGCCTAAGGATCCTGAGATTGACCAGACCATCAGAACCAAGAGATCACCAGACGGATACCATTCCCACATCCTTCCCATACTCAATCCCTCTCCAAGCGTCCTTTAGAAGAAGAGCTGGGAACTCCACAATGCATCCTTAACATTCTCCCTCAAATGCTCATACCTTGCTTTCCCCCAAGGTGTGTCTCTCTCTTTATTTGTTATGTTCATTTAATGAATGTCCATAGTATAATCAGAATGTTTTAAGATAAAACAAATATTGTAAGCAAGCACATAATGTAAAATAGTTAGGAAACAAGAAAACCAGTGAAATCAAAGCATATTGAATCAAAGTGTTTAAGACACAACAGTGGTAAAATATTAACTCTGCCAACTTCAAAAGAAATACAGGATTCTTACAACTTGTAGTATAAAAAGATTTGTAGATTATAAGTATTTAAGACAAGTTTCACAATTGAGAATGACTTTCTTTCCTTGGAGATGGCAGGCCTACAGAAATCAACTGCCATTACTTAATAGTAACATGAAAATCAATTTCAGTTGCATTCTTTTATATATATATATATATATATATATATATATATATATATAYACACACACACACAYAYACACACACACACACACACACACACACACACACACACACACCAAGGATGGAACACTGAGGACTCAACCACTGAGACACATTCCCAGCCTTTTCTTTTCTTTTTTCTTTTTGTATTTTATTTAGAGACAGGGTCTCATTGAGGTGCTTAGGGCCTCACTAAGTTGCTGAGGGTAGCTTTGAACTTGCAATCTTCTTGTCTCAGCCTTCCAAGCTGCTGGTATTATAGGTGTGCACCACTGCACCTGGCTCAATTTCAGACACATTCCTTTAAATTTTTTTTTTTAATTTTGTAGTTGTAGATGGACAGAAYGCCTTTATTTTACTTGTTTATTTATATGTGGTGCTGAGGATCGAACCCAGTGCCTCAGGCATGCTAGGCAAGTACTCTGCCACTGAGCTACAGCCCCAGCCCCAAACACATTATTTAAAACAAAACAAAACTAGAAAAGACCAGCAAGGTCCACGTATTTTATCCACAGTAATTGGAAAAAAAACTACTATTTTATTGAATTAATGTGTTATAGGTACTGTGCTAAGCATTTTACATACATTATCTAAGTAAATTTCACAACACATTGAAACACCCTATTACTTTTATCCTCATATTTTATGTGAAACTATGGAGGTACAAAGAAATTCAATAACCTATCTGATGCTACAGAATAATTAGTAAAGCAAGGGCTCAAACTGCATAATCTTTTTTTTCTTTTTTTCTTTTTTAACTACTGGGGATTGAACCAGGGGTTCTTTACTACTGAATTATACCCCAAAGCCTTTTTATTTTGAGGAGGGTCTCCCTAAGTTGCTCAGGAACTTGGAATCATCCTGCTTCATTCTCCCAAGTTGGCTTGGCTATCTGGGTCTTGGTTTCTCAATTCAATGAGAATAGAATGTTCTTTTATCTCTGCAGTAGAGAGGCAAAATCAAGGTGGCCCAGACTTCAGGAAGGAGCTCATTGCTCAAACACACTCTGAGTTTCTGTTGTTTATGGGACTTGGTTGACACATATATGCCCCTGGCTTTTCTCAAGGAGGTGTCAAAGGACTACATTTTCAGGTCTTTTGAAAAAACACCTTGATTCTTACTTAATTGTAAGTAAATGTTTAAATTTCCAGTGAAAATATACAATGACAAGTTTTTTTTTTCTGGATGAGATAACAGCTTATTTTACCTTCTTTGTAATGCCTATTTTTCAAGTTTTACTACCATTTGGGAAGGTCTCACTGGGAAGGATTACTGATGTGTGCTACCATTCCTGGCTCAAACTATATGACCTTTATTGTTTTGTTGTAATTGATCCCATCTTAGACTGAACAGTCAACAAAAATCACAAGCTTGCACGAATAGTTGGGATGTACCAATGGAGAACATCTCTACAACTTTGATGATTACATACATAATGACTTGCAGAAATGAAAACACAATGTTTCCAACATTAGAAATAAAGTGTAGGAGAGTGGTTACCAGAGACTGGGGAGAAGAGGGGAAAAAGGTGTGTGTGTGTGTGTGTGTGTGTGTGTGTGTGTGTGTGTGTGGAGGGGGAAGAGAATGGCCAATGGATATAATGTTACAATTAGGAGGAATCAATTCTAGTGTTCTATGGCATGGTAGAGTGAATATGATTGATAATAAGGCATTGTAATATCCTCAAATAGTTAGGAGAGAGGATTTTGAATGTACTCACTATATAGAAATGAGAGATTAAAGTTACAGATAAACTGATTACACTGATTTGATCATTACTCAATTTATATATCAATTAATTCAGCACATAATGCCTTGTAAGAAGGTACAAATATCATGTCTCAACAAAAAAATAAAATTAACAAAATTAGAAAAAAAAAAGGAAAAGAAGAAGAAAGGAGCCACTTCACATCTATGATGAAGCCTGGGAAAAGAAACCAGATGTCTCCTAGGTACAGAGACATCTGATCACACACTGTTGGCCCAGCAGTACTAAAAAATACAGGCAGACAGGTTATGGGAGGAACTGATGGAGCAGAAGTTGAACTCTACTACCCAAAAGAAACTTGGTGGGATGTTGAGGAGAAAATATGATAAACAGCACGACAGGTAAATGGATCTAGGTATACAATATTATCATTTATTTGTAAAAAGGTACTTCTGAATTGATTGGTTCACATTCTTGTCTTATTACATTATTTATTATTCAATAATTATTTAATTAGAGAATAAGATACCAAAYGCAGTTTTAGATACTGAGGATATATTTGTGAATAAAATAGACAAAAAAGGTGAATATTTTCAAGGAAGAGAAAGAGAAGAGAAATATCAGATAATGACTGATTCTGAGAAGAAAATAAGCCCTGGAAGGGAAATAGAGAGGCTTGGGTGGGGGCAGAGGTCTCACTGGGAAGGCAGCCACTGAAAGAATTTTTGTAACAGTGGCGATGGACATCCCTCCATGGAGATGGCTTCAGTGTTCCTTACTCTGAGTGACATTTGCTGATTAAAAGTAAATACACCAAGGGCTGGGAGTATAGTTCAGATGGCAGAATACTTGCCTCACAAGCACAAGGCCTTGGTTTCAACCCCAGCACCACACACACACACAGAAGTAAATGTAAAATTATAGACAACAAAGCAATATATTTAATATATGCCTAAATTATATA